TATGAAGTAGAACGCATTGTATTAAGAACAACTAATATTGCTAAAAGAGATAGGCTGTCATCATCGCTCAAAATTATAGTGCCGGGGAAAAAAAACTTGGCAAGATTAACCTTTGACGCAGATGAGACACCTTTTACCCTTTTATGTCATTTTTTCTAACTCTCTAATTACAAGCAAAATTATATTTTGGTATTTTTTAATTATAAAAAACAGTCTAATAGTTACTAAAAAATCTATTAAATTATCGGAATGATATTTGTATTAAAATATAAAATAAAAAAAAAGTAATTTGTAAATATTTTTGTTCATTCATATTCAAAAATTAATCAATAATTGATTTTGCAAAATTAAAGAAATTTCAATGAATAACACAGAAAAAGTCACCGGTGTTTCGTGGTGTATTTCATAACCTTAATATTAATGAAATGCTAAATATAATATTTTTCACTTATTTTGACATAAATATAAATTAAGGAAAAGAGTATGAAAAATATATTTAATACAAATTCTGCGTCAGAGGGTTAATGCGACTATAAGTGAGAGTTTTTTACATTTCACACAAAAATCATCTGAAATTGCAATAAGTAATTTCTTATGAAAATTGTCAAGGTAATTCTTAGAAAATTGAAGTTGAGTGTTTATTTTCCTATTGTTTTCAACGTTCTCATTCATTTAGTTTTTTCAGTTCATTCCTTGTTATCATGTTCACTGTCGCGTAAGTTTAGTATCTTGGCATAAAAATTTATTAAAGTATAGAATTAAGCTTGGTTTGTATTAAAACAGCTGCAGGGAGAAAATGCGAATCTATATTAGGCAATTCAGTTGTTGATTGCGAAACTACGAAATTTCAACAGGAACTGACGGATTTCATTTGCCTTAAATAAATTAGTCGCAATGCTCCTAATATGAGTAGTTTGATACATGTAACGCGAATTATTTATTTTTATTTAGATATTTAGTGAACTTAAATTTTTTTGTATACATTATACGGAAAAAAAATTAAGTAAAAATCTTCAATGAAATTGAGACGACTAAAGGGCAACGCATACTTTTTGTACAAAAACTGCAACTGAGAACAAAAATCATTATCAAAACTGCAAAAACATGCTAAAAGTTAGCATGTTTCTAGCTCTACAAAGGTACTTTTTACCGAACTGCCTTGGTATAATGAGTTTGATAAAATTAACAATAAAATATTGTTTTATCTGTGGTAAAATTTGGTTAATTTTTATCACGAGAGTATGGCATTAAAGCCATTTATTCGATCCAATCAGTATTTTTTACTGAATGTGTGATGTTTTTTTTAAACATTCAGTGAATGTGTGCTTGTACTGAATATGTGGTAATAAGAACTATAATTTTTAGAACCAGAATTTTCGGTAAATTGCCATATGTACGGGAAAATTATCAATTAAACGATTGAAATAGTGTATATTTATGTTTATGGCTTTTTGTCTTAACAGAAATGTCATTACAATACAGTACGTTAATTTAACCATAATTTTTTCTCCGTATGTCATTACGTTAAGATTATTCTTTCAATCTTAGTAATTTAAACCTAAAATATTTAAGTGAAATTTCGAGTTAAGTAATCACACAGTTACTGCGCTTAAAGTTGTCATAGTGTTAATTTTAAAAAAAAAAAATATGTATAAAAGTTACAAAATTATCCTTCCGACTAGTGAAGTGTCCCAATACTTTTTTAGAAGAGTTAACTAACTAATATATGTCGTTTAAATTTTAACTTATTTTTCATTTTCAATTATAGACCGCCGCTGGCTGTTAGAATGCGTGTTTGGTATGCAGTTTTCAGTATCCTAAAAGTCATAAAACGTGTCGTGTAACAGTGTAGGTTTGGTATGTTTTGTTGGATGCCTTCCAGAGATTATCTCGGGCTGGTTTTTGTAGCTCTGAGCCTTAAGAATTTTAATCCGAGCCCACCTGAGCTTGATATACAAGGGATTACTTAAAATTAGAATCCACCCGAAGATATACGTCGGATAAAGGCTAAAATTCGGGGTCTCATCACTTGGCCTTTGATATCTAAACAAGGGAAAACCTTTGCTATCGCTAACCTGTGAAGAGGAACCAACTGAAATTTCAAGATGACTTAAAAAAAAATCAAAATCGTAGGTTAAATAAAACTCGTTTGACAATTAGCGCTAGCTTCACAAAGCAATAGCACTGAACAGAAGTAGCTGTCGCTGTAAATTTTTTTTACTCAGTAACTCAATCAAATGTTTGTTTAAAATAAGTAGCAAAAATTTAAGAAAATTTTATCGTGAATCTGAGCCCTCTCCCCAAGCCCGAGACCATTTTTCAGTAGACAAACCCGTCTCGTCTCTAATGCCTGCTACAAAACTTTTTTCAGCCTTGTTTTAAATTCGCGAATGGCTAGAAATTTGATATCATTCTGTTTAGAGGAAATTTGGGTCCGGTAACGGACCCTTCACAAAATATCTTTTCATAAAAACGGACCCTTCACAAAATATTTTAACTTAAAAACGGACCCTTCACAAAATGATTTTTCTTTTAATTGGACCCTTCACAAATTTGTTTATCTTCATTATTGTTTTGTTAATCGAATAAACCCTTCCCAGGGCAGAAAACAAAGATGGATGTAAACGAATTAAGTTTTGTCTTCGGCAGACGATTCTTCCATTATTCGTCCGAAATAAATATTCTGCGTTCAGCAGTATAGGCTAAATATCAAATGTTGCATCTCTAATTTAGAAGCAGCAATTGCTGTTTGTTTTTGAAAATTTAATTTTTTTATTATAATTTTACAGTGCCGAGCATAATCTTGTATCTATTTACAATTTAAAAAGTCCTTGAAAAAGTTTTTTGCAATAACCGGACCCTATTTGCACAAATTCATAAAAGCGGACCCTGGTTGAAAGAATGTGAGTAATTTTTTCACAATTTCACGAAAAACGGACCTTTCACAAAATGTCTGGACAGACCCCTGATAAAGAATACTGAATTTATCTTATTTTCCCACAAAATTGCGAAATAAATATGTTATATATAACATTTTGTAATAAAAAATTTAGAGACACTATTAATAAACTCCCAAACCGAGTTGTTGCTTTTCTAAATATTTTATCGTAGATTTCAGTTCTGTTTTGTCATATTTTGATTTAGCCCTGTTTATTTTATTCTGTTCTACAATAAATTTTACTATATATAAATCGTTCTATAATTAAAAACATAAATGATTTTTATAACAGTTCACGTGATCAGTTAGTCAAAACAATCCGACAAGAAGATAGAAATTACTTGGCAAATAATCGAGATCAATCAATATTCTCGTTCAGTCTGTGAAGAGGATAGAAATTACTTAATATTTAATAGACTATGATCAGTTTGTCAAATCATTCGGACGAGAAGAATGAAATTACTTGCGAATAATCGAGGACAATCATTATTCTCGTTCAGTCTGTGAAGAGGATAGAAATTACTTAATATTTAACATGCCATGATCAATTTCTCAAATAAATCCGACAAAAAGATTGAAACTACTTGGCAAATAATTGACTATAATCTCGCTAAGCTATAGTTAAACCTAGCTAAGTGACGATGTTTACCATCATAGATCAAAAACTAAAGAAGCTCATATCTCCAGAAATGATGCTAGCAACTATGTTACTCATTGGTTATTCATTTCATTTAATAAAATAAAACGCTTTGAATAAAAAATAAAAATCGATATTAAGGCTTGAAAGCCGGCAATGTGTTCCTTATTTAGCTAATAATGCCATGTAAACTAGTCTTTTCCATCTGGCTCGATCAGACACAGTTTCTCCATCTATTGATGTCCATGGTTTTAAGATCTTTTTCCGCAGAATCAATCCATCTGGCATTTGGTCTTCCACTTTTTCGGTCACCTGTAAATTTTCCAAAAGTCATCTTCTTAACTGGGTCACCATCATCCCTTCTAAAGATGTGACCCAGCCATTCTTTAACTATCAGAAATTAAATATAAAAAATTTTGTCAATTTTTTTAAACTATAAAAGCTTAAGTTTTTTGATGCTTTCTATTATAGTTTTTTAGTTAGTCGAGAATGGATTCTATCGACTAGTTAGTTGATTAACTTGATTCTTTAACTATCGCAAATTATATAAATAAAATTATATAAATTTTTTTGACTATAAAAGCATAAATCCTTTGATACTTTATATTATAGTTTCAGGGATCTGTTTAGAAGAAATTTGGGTCCGTTAACGGACCCTTCACGAAATATCTTTTCATAAAAACGGACCCTTCACAAAATAATTTATCTTTTAATCGGACCCTTCTTGAAAAGGTTTTTTGCAATAACAGGACCCTATTTACACAAATTCACAAAAGCAGGACCCTAGTTGAAAGAATGGGACTTAAGGCTTATTTTATATTCACAAATTATGAATAGTTTTTTCACATTTTTACAAAAACAGGACCTTTTACAAAATGTCTGGCCAGACCCCTGAGTTTGTTAGTTGATCGAGAATGGATTCTATCAACTAGTTTGTTGATTAACTTGATTCTTTAGATATCGCAAAATGAATAATATACATTATGTTACTTTCTTTCTTCATAGTAATAAACCTTTAAACAGTGTTTAAAGTGATTAATGATTGATTCTATCAATTCTGTTTGATTTTGTAGATTGTGTTTTCTAGAAATCAAAAAATAAGCAACACTATGTTAATTTAAGCATATAGAAACGTTACTGTTGTTCCATCGAAAATCTTATTTTTACTTTAACCTGGTAGGTAATATTCAGATTACATAGGTAATTTACAAAATACCTAGATAGTTTTAGAAATGAAACAATTTTAGGCACTTTAATTCTGCCCTATTACCATGATAATTTGTAGAATTACTGATTTCTACACTTTAGTGGAAACATTCATACCGCTTAGTTTGACATATTTTGTTGAAAATATCTAAACGCTATTTCTACAATTGAAGAGAATATTCAATTAGTAATGTGACACTGTTTCTATTTTTTCCCCAGCTATTGCGATCAGGACCTCAGAAGCCATGCAACGTGGGAATGAAAATAGAAAACAGACCGAAAAATAGATATCCAGACTTATTACCTTGTAAGTACATATGCATAGTTGTAACAAATATATTGTACTTTAATAATTTAATATTGTTAAAATTTATTATTGGCTTAAAAATATTTAATAACTTTTTGTTTACTGTAAAACTTTAAAGTCTAGATTTTAAATACTGTTAATATTAAAATTTAAAATATTTCGATTTATAAATGAATTTACAGTGATTTTGCAACATAATGAAGCGCGTGTTTTGATGAATGAGTCAGTTATGTTAATTTTAAAGAGAATTCTTTTAACATTGGTTAGTGTTTTAACTTTAATATAAAAACTTATAAAAGGAAAATTGACATATAAAATTATTTTAAGCGTGGAAATAATATTTTTAACTCATAACAACTGTTCACATTTGAGTCTATGTGATTTTTATTTAGAAATTTAAAGGAAATTAAGTTGCATTTTAAAAATAAATACAAGCATTAAAGTTATGGCAAGCAACTTGATTATCAGATTTTTATTTTTGGAAGTTTTTACTTGTTTTTACTCCCTGGAATTGAACGGGTTAAGAAAAAAAAGTTATTTATTTTTAAATGCACAATAAATACTATGTCTTCTTTACATTTAATATCAACGCATTTTATATAACATATAGAAGAGAAAAACTTTTTTTAAAAATTAAATTGCAGGAAATTTAAATAATTTATGAAATAAAAAATTAATAATAAAACTTTTTTTTACAAATTTTAAATTTAGGATACTTTTTTTCACTTTCTAATAAGGCTTGTTTCCTTTCTAATTCTTTGTGTTAGAGAAAGTGATATTTTTGCTCCTTTACAACACATTACAACATTATCTTTACTAATGGAAAAGACCTATTTCCATACATAGTAATCAATGAGTAGGTATTTGCCGCCCACGACCAAAAATCTAGGAAACAGAACTGTTGCGCACACGGTTTTTTATTAAATCACCTTGACATGAAAAGAAGAGCCTCGTTGTTGAGCTTTCACCACAAATAATTATTCTTTTATCTACTTTCTCCAAAATTTCACTTTCAAAAGTTCTTCCTTTTCTACTTAAATAAGAATCTGATGTTTAATTTTTTTTAACAATAAAACAATTTTTTTTATTTGAATACAAAGTTTTTCCAATGGACTAAAGAGTAGAAAATTATTTTATTTTTGCCAGGTTTAAAATTTAAAACTTCATGTGGGGGATTTTCAATTGTGATAGCAGTGAAATTACGATAGTGATTCGCTCTAACGTTTTTCGTTTTAGAAGTGACAAAAATAAAAGTAATTTATCTTTTTTTAGTCTTCTTGAAAATCCGTGTATTTAAAATGTTATTTTTTATTTTATTATTATAATTATTTTTTTAGTTTTGTGTCTGGTTTTTTAATCTCGGAATGAGGTTGTGAATTTTGCTAGCTTTATTTATGAAACAATTGTAACTTGTATTAGTATCAAGCATAGATCTCCAGTTGAAATTTGAGCTCTTTAGCTCGTCGGAGGGATGTCGGAATAATGATTGACGAAGTATTCGATTCAGCAACAAAAAATCCGTTTGTAATGGTCAGAAAATAATTGAAACTTAAATTGTCATCCGGTACAGAGCTCCAGTTACCTCGTATTCGTAAATTTTTGGCAATTCAGAATCACACGGAAATTGAACCCTATAGTAAAATTTCATCTGTAGAATTATCACAAACGTCTTCGAGAATAATATGCAAATTACAGGAAGACACCAGACGATAGTACGTCACAATGACGAGAATGTAAGATAGAGGCTTATAAGGAATGGTGGCAAAGAAGTAAAATTGTTCACAAGCGTTCTGTAAGCCGCTCAATGCTATAACCGAATATTTCTGACACAGAGGACGCATGTGGAGGATTTTTTGCTTGTTAGAATTATTGGCTACCTGGAATGCGGGCGTACTCAGGTGGTAGCATTCCAGGAACTTGGAATTGCCCAAAGCGGCATATGTAGGCTTTTACAATGATTCCAAGATGTTGGAAATATCAGTAGACGTTACAGTACAGGTCGCTTCCCTAGTTACAACGCCAAAGCAAGACCGTTATTTGGTAGTAATTGCTAAAAGAAGCAGACTGAGCATAGCATCTGACCCGTCTCGTGAACTATCTGCAGCCATAGGTACCACTGTTTCAAGGCAAACCGTATACAGACGTTTGAAAAATATTGCTCACAAATCTGTCAATTGCGTTCAACTCACTGCTACTCATTGTCTTCGCTAGCGACTTGCCTGGAATAAGAGACATGCAATGTAAACATCGTCACAGTGGGCTTGCGTGATGTTTTCCAACGAGTCCAAGTTGAGCTTGCAGTTTGATTCAGATCGGAGTTTTATATGGAGAATGTCAGGTACCCGTTATCACCACGTAATAACGGGTACTTGATACCATAATCGAATGACACCGTTATGGTGGCGCAAGATAGTTAGTTCGGGGTGGAATTATACTGGACTCCAGAACTGATCTGAATGTTCAAATCGGAACCATGTCAGGCTAAATTTTTCGGGACATCATTCTGGAACAACATGTTAATTTATTAAGGGTTGTCATGGGTTTGTCCTTACGGAGGACAATGCCCGTCCTCAGCCCCACCGAGCCAAGCATCGTAAACGAATGTCTTCAATATGAGGATATATAGCCAGCATTCTGACCTGATTTGATAGGGCATGTTTGGGACATGCTTGGCCGACAAGTTACAGCCCGTCAATCACCTCTTACATTTGTTCCGAAGTTCGGAGAGCATTACTTGCTGATTCCCGTGATCAGTTTAATATTTTGCTGTTCGCCATGCCTAGACATTGTACAGACTGTATTTCATCACCCTGAAGCCATACTATGAATTGATCATTATACCAACCATGTAATATTAAGTTTTTGTAAAGGAGATAATTTTTATAATTTCTCCAGGGATTAAAAATCATAGTTTTTAGGAATGGTATCATACATACACCATATTTTTTGTTTTTTTTTATCTATTGTTTAATAAATCCCCTTTATGAATAAATCACTTTCGTTTTGTTTCTGAACCTTAATTTATGAACATGAGTGTAAAATTGGAGCTCACTGGTTAATTGAGAAATGGTAAAGAATTGATCGGCGATAAATACCATTTGATTATGCGGCTATAAATTCTGATTGAAATGGTCAAGAAACGATTGTAACTTTATATTGTTAGGTATAAAGTGTCCGACCAAAGTTTGAGCACTCCAGCTAGCTGGGAACTGATTTATTTGTCTATTGCAACCTTTAAACTTCTTATTCTTTAAACTTAAAAAAAGTATTTTTTCTTTTGAAGTTTTAACAATTCATAAAGGACTATTGCATTACCCTTTAATTGTATCTGATTGCAAAAATAGAAGTTTATTGTCGTTAATTTTGTTTTTCTTCTCCACATGCATTAATGTTATTTAATTTCTTCTATTGTAGATGATGACTATCGTGTTGTCTTGCGAAAAGTTAAAAACGATCCTCATTCTGACTACATCAATGCTAGCTATATTGAGGTGAGAAAAATTTATAATGATCTAGAAACAAATTTATGTACACTCATATATTATGTATACGCTTAATAACTTACATATGTATTTTATATTAATGTTACAGAATTACCAAAGAAGAACGAATTATATTTGCACTCAAGGTACGTATCGATTTCTTGTGTAAAATTTATGTCAATCTACTTAATTATTTTTAATGTAAGTTAGTCAGGGGTCTATTTAGAAGAAATTTGGGTCCGTTAACGGACACTTCACAAAATATCTTTTCATAAAAACGGACCCTTCACAAAATAATTTATCTTTTAATCGGACCCTTCACAAATTTGTTTATCTTCATTATTGTTTTGTTAATCGACAAAACCCTTCCCAGGAGGGGGGGGGGAGAAAGACAGATGTAAACGAACTAAATTTTGTCTTCGGCAGACGCTTCTTCCTTTATTCGTCCGAAATGAATATTCTGCGTTCAGCAGTATAGGCTAAATACCAAATATTTGTATGTTGCATCGCTAATTTAGTAGCTGCAATTGCTGTTTACTTTTTAAAATTTAATTTTTTAATTATAATTTTATAGTGTTGAGCATAATCTTCTATTGTTTAATTCTATTGTTTAATTGTATGTCTTTACAATTTAAAAACTCCCTGAAAAAGTTTTTTTGCAATAACGGACCCTATTTGCACAAATTCACAAAAGCGGACCCTGGTTGAAAGAATGTGACTTAACGTTTATTTTATATTCACAAATTACGTGATCTTAAAAGCGAACATAAAGGCAGTACTGAAACAAGAATTTGGAGGATTTATAAATAGTCTTGTATTGTAACATTATAGTACAATATATGATCATTTTAAGTACTAATGCTCTAAAACTTTTTGCAAGGGTCAAAATTTTCATGATATTCCTAATAAAAAAATATTTTTCCCCGATTTGCCTTTTTTTAACCTTTTTTCTTGGTTTTTTTTCTGTTATCGAGCAATATTGTGACTCTTTTATAATACTCAACATAACAAGTACGACATATTATGAGATTCTTTTTAAAATGCTTATAGTATTAAATTTACAAAAAATTTATGTTTGTAACTAGTTAAAAATAACTTGCCTTCCGTTATTGCGACAATTTGTTTTTCATGTTTAAATGAGTAATATTACTCAAAATAGAGATAAAGGATACATATTTTTTTAAATTTCTGGTATTAATATAAGAAAAGTGAAAAACAAACATTTCACTTTGTTTTCTTCTTGAAATCCTAACCCGAAATGTTTATGTAGCAAACATTTGTAGGCAGCTTGATGCAGTAGAAAGTAGTCTTAATCCCCAAAAAAAGAAAAATACCTCTGCTATTTTTGGAAATTTTTCTGCATACTTCAAAAAGATGCACCATTATTTTTGTTGATTATAATCTATCGTGCCACCTATTTTCCACCTTAAAGCAACTATTCAGTGTTATCAGGGAAGTCAAAAGTCATTGCACTTGATTTTTTTTTTTTAACTCCCATCTTGCAAATACTTTTTATCTTTTGGCAATTTGTTGTTCGTTATTAACTTGTTTGAATTTTAATGCTAGTTAAAAGTGTAGTGTCTGGTAGAGAATACTTTATTAAGGAAAAACAACATTTGGCACTAAATAGGTGTATTTGCTTATTACTACTTTTTTTTATCATTGAAACTTGTATTATGTTTGTGGCAATCAATTTAATTCTTAAAAATTATTAATAAATAATGTTTACGCTGATTGAGTATGTTATGATCTAAAATAATAGAAGGTTAAATATATTTTTTTGTTTATTTTTTATTCTTAAATATGCAGATGTTAAATTTTTATTAAGTTAAGGATTTAATTCTAAAGGTCTTATCAAGTTTAATAAGAATTATTTTAAGTTTTTCAGTACTCTAAAAAATCATTGTTCCCCAACCCCCGGTTCGTGGATCAAATGGTAGCGGGCTGCCCATTTCATTGAAACTGAATTTAAATTCCTAGGTTTATACCCCAAATTAAAAATATTTGTGTTCCATTAAAATTTTACTAGTAAGTTAAAATGTTAAATCACTTTATAATTAATTTTTGGAGTAGCTGCATGTTATTTTGAAGGCATGCTTAAATACAATTAAATTAAAATTAATAAATAATAATAATCTAAAATATAAACAATCAAAGATCCCCCCCCCCTCGGACCGCGGTAAAATTATCAAACGTTGGCAGGTCCGCGGTGATAAAAGTGTTGGGGAACACTGCTCTAAATATTGAAATATGATAGGAACTATCATATATATATATATATATTTTTATCGAATAAGGTCATTCTGAAATATAAAAAAAGTTTATTAAATTTTTTAAACAAAATTTTAGTTTATCAATTTTGATAAAGTTGAGATAAATTTTATCATTAAGCGAAGTATAAGATTTAGATAGATGTTTAGTTCAGTAAGATATAACTTCTTAGATGGATTTTCTTCTTGCTCTATTTTTTAAAGAATATTCTGCACTAAAATTGTCTAGATTTCGTCCAGTCTTTTTTTTTTTTTAATTATTTCTTCCTAATTTTTTATTGAAACCATTATGAGACCTGTTTTTGCCTTAAATATTTTTTTAAATGTTTAGCAGACATTGATTTATAAATGAATCTAATTTTTGGGCCAAAATAAAGCATTTGTGTATTTAATATATTGTCAGTGGGATTGATAATAATATTGACTGTGGTCTTGATAATAACATTTTTATTCTAACTTCTAATATATACATCATTGATAATCATTTTTGTTGTTCCTGTGACTTATGAAATGTTGAATTGTTCTATTTTAGAAATATTTATGTTCACCATTTAATTGTCTTGTTTTCAAATAATCTATCATTCTTACATAGCACAAAATAATTACGTTTGTTTTTGAAACTTTTTTTTTATACCTTTTTAAAGTCACAAAAATATTTTAATAAATTGTCAGAAACACTTTTATTTATTCATTACGGTTTTCAAACCATTATTTTAATGTTTCTGAAACGTAACTTATCAACGACGGAAAGAGTGATAGAAGGAACGTCCCAAACATATTTGTAATTGTTTACTTTGAAAAGGACAGAAGAGCAAATTTATCTATTAGAGAGTAAATGCATTAAAAAAATGAAAGTTTTTGCAAATTTGTCTCTCTGCGTGAAAAGTTCATCTATTTTCTCTGGATTATAATTTATGTATAGGAACCCTCAATGGTGAAACTTCTGATTCTGTTTAATTTACTACTAAAATATTTCTCAAAAATACTTAACAGAAATATTTAAATACCATGGGGAAAAAATAGTTTACTCATATGTTCATTAAAGCTGTGTGATTCAGAGAGAAAACGATTTCGCGGTGAAAGGAAGGGTCTTTCCACAGTTCGGCTCCTCTTCACTATGCAATAACTCACGTGAAGAACCGATATTTCCCGTTATTGATTTGTCAAATCATAATGATCCTCAAAATAAAACAGATGGCGATCCAATAATCATTTTTGTGAAAAATGAACATTAACCGTTCTTTCCCCTTGGTATTCATTTCTTAAAGTTTAACTAAGTGTTCTCATAATGAGAGAGTTCAATAATTCGAATCTTTAAATAAAGTTCCTTGGCTATAGTAGATATGTGCACTACCCTACAATAATGGAGGAGACACTTTCAGTTTTTGACATTTTTTTTAAAATTTCTCAAGAAATACTTAAAGGATTATTTTGTAACTTAAGAGATTTTTAGTTCATGCAATTTTTCATGCTTAGCAATAAAATGTAAAGCTTTCAGAGGTTTGAGAGACCTACAATAAATTACGAAAGAAACTAAGTATTTTTGAACACCCTATGCCAGAAAATCAAGCAACAAACTTGTATGCTTACTTTAGTTGTTATTTTTAATAACTGCATAAAGTTTCGTAAACCTAGAGTAAATATTCGTAGAGATATGGATATTTTTATAAAAAATTAATTTTTTTGACTTACGTTTTTTTGCTGTAACTTTATAGATATTCGAATTCTCTTCCAATATTGTAGGTTAGTGTATGTTTAGTTGCACTTATATACCAAAATTTTTTTTTGAAAATCAATTATTGATTTTCAAATAAATGGATTATTTTGAATGTACGAAACTACGAGAATATTTTTAATGATTTTTCCTATTAGATAAGTAATTACAGCAAAAAAGGTGTTTCGTTGGAAAAATTAATACCTCAGTTTTTTCTCTCTCAGAAAGCTTTATTATGTCACTACAAACAATGACCAAAAACTACCTTCATTTCATTCTTTACTCGCATCTTTCAAATACTTTTTATGTTTTGGCAACTTGTTGTTCGTTATTAACTTGTTTGAGTTTTAATGCCAGTTAAAGTGTAGTGTCTGGTAGAGAATACTGTATTAAGGAAAAAACTACGTTTGGCACTAAATTTAAAAGTTGAAATGATATTTTTTTGTATAAAATGTACTTCTTTTCAATTGTACTTACCATAAAGAAAACCCTTATAATTTCAAAACTATTTATTTTATAAACTCAAATTTTATCTCATTCAGTCCAGTATAAAATTTTTCGTCAAAAAATGTGTTTTACATGTTCAGATAGCCCCTAGATATGTAAGTAAAAAGTGTACTTAAGTCATGTCAAAAATAGTACTTTTTATGTATGAAAACTCTCGTAACTTTTGAACTATTCGTTTTTATTGATTCAGGTATAGTTTCTAATGATTTAATGTAAAATACTACATAGGAAACAATGTCTTACTTGTCTAAAAAGGTATATCAGATTTGTAAATAAATACAAATACAAGTTTGTACATTTTGAAAATAAAACCCTTGTAATTTCTAAACTATTCGTCTGATCGTCTTTTGATTGGTCTCATTTCTTGTCTAGAAGAAATTCAATTCTCCCCCCCCCCCAAAAAAAAAAAAATTACCCCCATTTCAGTGTAAAGACGAGAATATGTTTAGGTATCATTTGTGAGGACATAGCATAGCTTTGTGTAAAAAAAAAACAAGTATTGAGTATTAATTTTTCGAAGAAAAAGTGTATTTTTAATGAAAAGTAACATTAATGTCCAGACAAACTTTGCATGCACATAATTTGTATAATTTAGAAACGTTTTGATTCCGACCTTTTAAAATTTGTTAAAACATTTTTACATCTTAGTTAGTATTTTTGCATTACAAGACATAAACGAACAGTATTTAAAAACAAATATGAAAGATTTGTTTAATTCTAACAGGAATTGTATTTGATATTTTTGTATTGTTGAAATTTCCTTCATAGACAAACTAATATTTTACATTTTGTAATATATTCTGTAAAAAAAGATATTTTTTGTAACAGTATGTTACAGTAAAAACCCGAAGTCTTGTAAATCCTAGCTTTACCGGTAAAAACCTATCTTTTGCCGAAGTGGCTTGGTAAAAATCTAAGGTATTGATGTCATTTCGGCCTTTTACTAGTCATTTTGGTAAATCCTAAGTTTTTACCAGTAAAACCTAGGTTTTATTAATTTTTCTGCCTTTTTATAGTAGCATATAAATCCTCACTATATTTCAATGAAAATAATAGAGAGCTAAGTTGGAAACTTTATTTTTTCATAACTCTGTATTTATTTTGAGAATATCGTGCTTTACATAAGTTCTGTCTAAATTTTATTGTGTTATAAACATTTCTTCATTAAATACCCTATTTTAGGTCCCTTGGAATCGACGATAAGCGCTTTCTGGCGCATGGTATGGCAAGAAGATATTAATGTCATTTGCATGACGTGTAATGTCATTGAAAGTGGAAAGGTAAGAATTGGTAGTGTTAAGTGTTAATTACGGTTAATCACTGTTTATTAGTGATTAATGTTATTTACCGATGGTTAGTGTTTCTAACTATTGATTAGTGGTTTTTATAATTGATATAATGTTGATTAGTATTTATTGTTGTGTAGAGTTGATATTCATATTAGGGCAATTCCACGAAAGTGTCAACTTTTAAGTGAAATTTTTTTTTATGAATTGCATATTTTAATTTTAAAAATACAGTGAAACTTCTCCTAAATGCCACCTCTACTTAAGGGCCACCTCTATTAAGGGCCAATATTTTGAGGAACGAAAATTTTCCCCATAGACATGATGTTAATTTTCCTCCCATTAGAGAGCTACATTTTCCTGACTACCTCCAATAAAGGCCATTTTCCCCCCGTCCCATGAGTCCCCCGTGCCATATTTATCAAACCAAGAAACGCTAATAGAAGTAAATAAACTGATATCCCAATCCAAGGCATTAATAAGTGATGCGATTTTAACTAATTTGTTTTATAGAGTTAAGGAATCATTAGAAACTAAAATTGTTTGCGAAAAAATTGCAAAAAGTAAACAAACTTCAATTGAAAATTTTTTTTAAACATGTATAAAAACTTAAAATGTTAATAAACAGTTTTTTTCTACATAAATTTTGATTTCCTCATTTTATTTTTTGGTCACCCCCATTTAAGGGCCACCCCCATAAGGGCCAATTTTCAATGGAAGGACATGTGGCTCTTACCGAGAGGTTTCACTGTATGTTCAAAAATAGCCAAAGTCTACATATTGCCGTGTCACTTTTGATAATTTTAAATTTTTTGAATCTGGCAGCATTCTAAAGTAATCACATGGCTGACAAGTGAATTGTTCACATTTGTGCTCAAATTGTTTTCTTGAAAAATACTCATAAAAGAAATGTATCTTTCTTTTGCAATATTTTGATAAAAATATGCAAATAGAACAAAATTTGAACATTTAAAACGTTATCATTTTAAGTTTAATATATAAAATAAAAGTAACTTCTTTTACGTCATTCCGTCACATGTCTTAATAATGCATAAATTTCCTGAGAACGAAGATAAGATGTGACATTTGCAAGTTAGATATAAAACCTCTTCAGAGACAACCTAATTTTCAAACTGTTGAAATTTTTACTAATTCTTACATAAATATTAATCCTGTTTATCTGTTACATTCTGTTTATCATTTACATATTAATAAAACATTTTTTAAATGAAGACTTTCTTCTACTAAACTTTTTGTCATTCCGTCACGGTCATTCCGTCACAGCAAATCGATGTTAATAACTGCTAGCCAACCTGAGGTTAATTTTCCAAATTCACATTTTACATTGCTTACACATTATACTAAAAGTATAAAATAGTTCAGAAAAATAATAGCTGCAAAATTCGCAGAAACTACCAGTTCTAAGCGGCATGCCAAAAGCTTGGTTGCCAAAATGTCATTCCGTCACGCAAATAAAAAGTTCGTAAAATTAAAAGTAAAAAAGATAGAAAATCCTGTTTTATTTAGTTTATGAAGCGCATTATGCCAATAATAATGATATGCTTGAGAAAAAAATTTTTTCATTTGAAATTAGATACATAGAAACTTCAATTAATTGTTATTTTGCAAGTCAAAATGTCGTTCCGTCACATATGGAATTGCCCATATGTGACATTAATTGATCGTGTTAGAATAGAGATCAAACATTAAAAAATAATAAGGAAAAAAACATGTGTTGACAAAGTATTTCATAATAACAAAGTAATGTTCCATACTAACTAATTTTATAATAATTAATAATTCTTAATATAGATTATTAAAATTCTTATTAAGAATTAGGTAACAAAATATGCTCATTTTGGGTCACGAATTGATTTATGTGAAAAAGATAAAAACGAAGAATATGTCAATAATGATCAATTATTTATAAAATCAATTGAAAAAATGGAAGGAGATTGAAATCATTAGTTTTCTATTTTCTGCTCAGGAAACTGGAATTTTTTCACATAATTTTAAAATGAATCTCAGTGTTTGTCAACACATAGCACTGATGGATGCAGAAACTCTAAAACAATTTTTTCAATTTCATGTATCGCATTTTTTCTATTACATGTTAGTTATTTTTTAAAATTTTAAATTCAAAATTATTTATTTATATTGGATATATTGTTTTAAAAAAGTCATTACTTTTGTTATTTAATAAACAATTGTCTTTTTTTAATATTTCAATATTAATTTCTTTTTTTTTCCTGATTAACTTCCTGATTATTTTTCGAGCATGCTGGTTTTTGAATAGTTTAAACCTCGTCACTGCACGCTTCTTAATTTTCAGTGCTTAATTTTTTTTTTAAAAAATAATAGTGTTTATTTTCGCACATGCATGCTATGAAAGAATTAGTTAATGAAATAGCCAACTATTACAACCTTTAAAAGTTGCACATTTAATTATCGTTTTTTTATTTTATTTCTAGAAAGTTTGATACTATAATATAATAATGCATAGGGAACCGATTATCCGGAACGATCGGGACCATCGCTATTCCGGATAACTGATTTTTCCGGTTTTCTGAATCGCTACAAAAAGCCGTTTTTTTATTGTCAAACTCAACTAAAAAAATATATATTTGGAAATAATCTTAAAAAGAAGAAAAAACGATGAAGTAATACACTAATGATTGTTTCCAAAATGATGGTAAGGTTAACATCTTTCAAAAATGAAAGAAAATCTTGAAATCTTATGAGGAAAAAAATATTTTTTTTTAAAAAAATGGCGGGAAAATTTATCGAATTTCGTTCCGGTTTTTTGGTTTTCCGGTTTTCTGACTTCCGGATAACGGGTTCTGTACTGTAATACGATTTCAATTGTCTTTTTTAAATATTTAAAACCCATACTTGTTCTGATATAATTATTTTTTCCTTCATCTTTTATATTCTCTAGAAAAAGTGTGAAAAGTACTGGCCTGACAAAATGTTGAAAGTGGCTGATCTCATAATTACTTTGCAGAGTGAAAAAGTGTTTTTAGATTATACCATAAGGAATTTTAAAATTATAAAAGTAAGATTATTACGATAATTTATTAATTTTTAAGTTTCCCAGTAATTTATAATTAATTCTGGAGCGAAGAATATATTTTATATATTAATAGTATCTGCTTGTTTCTCTTATCTTGTAATATTCTCAATGCATGAAACAATAAAAAGCATGCGAATTTACTTATGAATGCGAGAGTTGATCTAGTTGTACGAGATTATTATTTAATTTTTATGGAAGAGGTAAGCGTTGTAAGGGTTAATTTTTAGGTAATTTGAGTGATTATTGGGAAGTAGAAACAATTCCATCTGATCTTAACCCTCTTCATGCATATGGGCCTGGGTCCTCCCGAGGACGTATATAGTTTTGTTTCATGATATTATTCAGATTCGTATTTGTGCTGTGATTTGAATGTAAACCCCATTTGTAGACACCAGACAGTTTTTTGAAATCACACCAGATGGCAGGCCTTTCAAGAAAGTTAAAAGAATATGATCTCTTTAGAAGTTATTGAAAGATTCAAGAAAGAAATGGAAATCTGTACACATAATGCAAGCCAGGACCGCCCCGAAAAGTTTTTTTCCCATAGTAGTCTAAAAGATGTACATTGTTTCGAATTAGTCACTTTTAATGTTTAGGGCCGGATTAGCTTGGTTGGTAGAGCGTTGAGCCCACGTTCAAGAAGTCGTGAGTTCGATCCCCTCCGGCCGAAGAGTCCCCATGTATAGTAAATGGTTCTGGTGCACTTTAAATCTGTCGTATCACAAAGTTCTCCATGTTCCCATAATAAATCATAATAATCAAACATCAAGCTCTGGGGGTACTGAATATAAGATTGATCGTTCTCTGGTCCAGGTCAAAATTACGATCTGTGGATGTATGAATGGTTCCAGCCTTTAAAACGGGCTGTGACGTTTGTGTGGCGGAAGTCGTATTCTTGGCTACAGATGGCGCCACTGAAGAACAAGAAACTCACCATCAGCCTTAAATTCGCTTGGTTTCACCAAGTAGGCTTGCTGGTATTGGCAAGTGGCATTAAAACAACAGCAACGTTTTCAAATCTTTTTCAACGTCATCGAGCCATCTGAGTGCACGTTTTCTATAATGCAATCTGGCTTGTTGAAAGTTAACAGCTTTGTGGGGTTGTAATTATCTGATCTAAATAAGTGACCAAGATATCTTATTCGACTTGATTCGAGAAAATTTAATACTCTGGTTGTTTAAATTTCATGATTTCAAAGAATTCTCCATACGTTATTTTCCTTGACAACTGAAACCTTTTTATGTATGTAAATGTAACTAAGGAAATCTTTTTTACTTTATTGGTGATGCTTATTTTAATTTTAGGTTGGCTCGTCAGGTCATCGGATCGTTCATCAGTACCAATACACAGCATGGCCGGACCATGATGTTCCTTCCTATCCCTTAGCTATCTTGAATATGATTAAGGATATCAAAAAGTTTCAAGAAGCCCAGCAAAAGAAGACACCGTGGTTACTACATTGTAGGTAATACAAATATCGGAACAATATTTGATATTAATATTTTTTTTATCGAACTGACGGCGTTTTTTCGTTAATGAAAATTATAACAATTTTTAATTTACTTCTGAATTTTCGGACCTTATGGTACCCCAATTAATGGAGAATACCAGATTCCAGGCAGTAACATTTAAATATCTTAGAAAGGAACCCGCAAAGTTTAATCAAATAATGAACTTGTGGTGCTAAACCATTTTATACCGAAGAAAAATCGTTTTTTCTTCCTCTTTTGACTAGAATATGTGCTTTAGTGTTTTAAAATGTTAAACCAAATGTTAAATGTGCATGTAAAATATCCAAGCAAGCTTTTGCACAACTCCTCAAGGTCATTTGTAAGCACGTCCATACTTTAGAAGCTCATTTCTCGAAATTTTAATTATCTACTCACCGAAAATCATTACACAAATCTTCATCGTTTTCTTTAAAATTTAAACTTCGTAGTTTGACTTTTAGTGCAGACAATAATTTAAACCCGAAAGTAATGTTCAAAAATGTATTCTATCTAAATTAACAAGCATATTTTTTTTGACGCTTTCAAAGATAATAGGTTTTTGTGATTTAATTTTCGATGCATATATTTTATGAATAATACGAAGTTACTAATGTGAATATACGAAATTAGTAACGTTTCGATTACGTTACTAATTTCGGAAATTACACCATCGTTTGCTTTATTTATATAACATAATTTAAACTAGCCCATTGAACCAAAAACCTCTTATAAAGCAAAACTTCATTGATTGAAATCAAAGATGCAACGTTTTTACTTTCCACGTTATACAGGGCTCCAAAAATATTGTACAATTAAATAACTTTTTTAAAATTCGGTTTCTCAAGAATAGAACTGCTCGACCGATTTTGTTTAAATTTTGTATTTTGCTTCATAAAATAAATTTTTTTATAATGATATAAAAATTTGTATGTCTTACGATTCAAACTTTATTACTAAATAAAATAATTAAAATAATAAGTTTTTACTTAAAGCTATATTTGCAAGGAATTTTCTTTAAAGGAACAAATTTTATAATTGTGCCAAAATAGGTTAAAGAAAAATCAACATTAAGGGGTCCAAACTTTAGACCATTTTCTTTATCAAACTATGGGGACCATATTTCCCGGATTGCCGCTACCCCCTATATTGTGAGATAGTATGTTTCTGTGTCTGATTTCGCAACTTAAAATATCGGACGAACTCTTTCATTAGCATATTTGAGGTCACCCCTGGAACCATTAAGATTATCTTTGTTAGATCATAAGTTATTCGGTGTGATTCTTCTTCTTATTATTTTTTTGCAAGCTTACATGCATTAATGTTCAATACACTGTTAAATATTTAATGAAGTTAGTCATTAGATTGTAACTTTTGGCAAAAGTTTTATTCAAAAGAATCCCACGTGTATAATTTGTGCCCTTGTCATTCTGTATTAAATTATTTGTGTTTGTATTTACTTGCAGTGCTGGAGTAGGACGTTCGGGTACAGTTATGGTACTAGATTCAGCTATTGAAATGTCCGTGGCCGAAGGAAAAATTGATGTCCTAGGTATTCTTTATCGGATGAGGCAGCAAAGGATGAATATCATCCAGACAGTTGTAAGTCTTTCAAATAATTTTCATATTAATCGAAAAGATTTAGGGAAGAAGTTACCAGGGGACATTTAGAAAAAGCAGGACAGTTTTAGTCGCTGAAAAACTCTTTAATTAGGATTAAAAGAGTTTTAAATTTAGTAATCATCCATGAACTTCTTAAATCATTAGGGATCCGTCAAATTTGTCAACTTAAAAGCACACCAATGTTATATTTTTTTTAAAAAAATGATAATGTTAGTTAATTTGCAAAATCTGGAAAAGGTGTCTAAACATGGGATAGTGTCAAGAAGTCGAACATTCTAAAAACCTTTTTAAATTTAAGTTTAATTGGTTAAATCTGAAGAAATGTCACTTCCCAAATTTGATATCGGAGTTTTATACGATTGGGAAATTTGTACAACTTTGTATTATATTAGTCTACAGTTGTATGGATAGAAAGAATGAATTAAACGTAACGGAATATTAACTCGCATAAGGCTGTTCTTCGAACTCTCTGTCGTCGCATGAAATGATGCTTGTTTGCGAGTAATATTTTCATAACTGCTGTGAGTTTGCAACAGTTACTCATAACTGTTAGATAAAATTTAGCTTATCTTTAGCCAACGCCCTCTGTTTATTCTGAAAGTGGCACAAAACGTCGATATAGAAAAAAACCATAGTTTTTAGAAAATGAAAAATGTTTGTGGTATAATTTTTTAATATTTAAAAACTTAATTCAATGCAGCATTATCTGAATTCATAAAAATTTGCGAAATATGGGAATAAGGCATTAATTTTAATTATTTTAATGTAGGTGGAAAATGTCACCAAATTGGGAATTTCTAAAAAAGTTTAACAGCTTTTAAAACATTCAAGTTATTTGTCAGTTTTAAAACCCAGATAATTCTTCACGACAAAATAGCAAGTATAGTTTATAAGTATAGCTTTGCTTCAGGTGTAAGGCACTTGCTGTTTCTTTTTTGTTTCCCTTAGTAGAACAGTTTCGAAAAACAATGTACTGCAGCTGATAAAAGACTTGTATTTTTTTACTGCCATGTTCATACAGCTTCACATGATTAAAATCATTTTTGGTTTGAGTCCACCTTCAGCTAAAATGGGGGTGTCGAATATTAGAAAACTATCGCGTTTTTGGCACCATTCTTATATATAGCTGAAATATTTTGATTAGTAGTTGACATTATTTTGAGGCTTTACAGAATCACGTAAAAAAGATTTTTAAAATTATTTCTACATTTGCGAGAATAAAAAAAGCTCTTATAACTTTCAGCAAATTTTTAATGCATTATGATTTATTTTTTATTTTTCATCATTTGGATTTATATTTTCTCTATCAATTAGCTCTATCAATTGAACTGTAAAAAAATTGTTTAGTTGGAAAAACGCGTTTTTTCATTGATGAAAACTTTGGGTTACAAATTATAATGTTTGAATAACTAATTAATATTTTGACGCTTTGAAGGTTACAAAAATATTTTTTCACGTTTCTTTAAATATGGATAGTATATATTTGTCTACAAAACTATAGCGAACAAAATTTTAGGTTTAATAATTTTTAAAATTGCAACAATAAATATTTTTTTTCACTTTAACAGGACCAATACATATTCGTCTACAAAGCTTTAGTTGAATATCACTATGGCGATAAGTCTTGTAAGCCTGCAAATGAAATGGTTCTTTATTTCAATAAGCTGAGACAAGTTGATGCAAAAACTAAGAAGACTGGATTGGATTCACAGTTTGAAGTTAGTATGGAATTAAGATATAAATCATCTCTCTATATATAAACGAACATCTGTCCTGTATGTATGTACGCTAATAACTCTATAATGGGATCCGGGTTTTGATCGGGTTTTTTTTTCTGCAGTTTGCAAATTTTCAGGAGATGGTTTGTAAACAGTAGTCACTTTCCGGTGTCTTGTAGTTGGGATGCAGTATCGAAAATACAAATTTTCATTGTTAAAACTCATCTTCAAAGATTTACCGATTCATACAGGGGTTTTGTTTAAAATTGCTAATATTTTTTGGATCATTTTGCGAAATTTTTAATCCTTATGCGTTTAATGTTTTGTTGCATGCATTATTGAAAACGTGTTGTTTATTGTTTCACCGTTGCACTGTCATCGAAACAATATAGTTTCAAAATGTTAAAAAAATAGAACAGACGAATTCTTGAGAAAAATGAAATACATCATTATAGCTCGTTAAGCTCTAGTTTAAATACCAAAGTAAAAATGCGTTCTAGAAACAAATGTGCAGACTAACACAAATTATCAAAAATGTATCATAAATTACTATTTGTAACATATAATTTTAAACATGAATGTAATATAAATATGCTTGCTTTTATTTTTCCAAAAACCATTTTAATTTCAAGACGTTTTAATTTAATACATTTTAATACTAAATCCATTTGTTGCCAAATATTAATAATTGAAATCTAATATCGTTTTAAAACAAAATTTTTTAATTTTCTAACTGTATATTATTCTTTAAAATTAATAAAATTAAATTTATAACAACAAAATATTAAATTTATAAAAATTATCCAAATTTCTAACGCGAAAAGTTGAGTACCAATAGTGGCTAGACGCCATTAACCTGAAACATTTAATACTTTTCTAACATTTAATACCTTTAATACCGGTGGAAAAAAAGTCGTTATTTTAAAATTTAATTTTTCGGTTATTATCATATAAAATAATAAATATTTACTAAAAGTTATTTTTGGCATGAAATTATATTTGAATAAACGAATTTTATAATTGTGTGTAAAAATTTTTCAATTCTCTTGGAAAGAGCTCAAGATGTGGCGAAATACGCATAAAGTAAAATTAACATTAAGGGGTCCAAACTTTGGATTGTTCTCCTGACCAAACAATTAGGATTCCCAGATTGCGACTACCCCCTATATTTTGTTTGTCAAAAATCCGAATCCGTCGACAAAAATGTATGTATATTCTGAGAAAGTACGTTTTTTGTGTCTAGATTTTGTAACTTAAAATACGAATACAAATTTAAACGTCTGTACAAATTTATTAACATATTTGAGGTTAGGCAAGGTAGGCCGTTTTTTTTGTTTTTTGTGCTGTACATCTTTATTGTTTGACCTCATAACCAAACCTCATAAGTACGCTAATTTTTTTATTTGTTACGATTAAGTAACTTACAAAAACGTACTTTCTTTAAACGTACGTACATTTTTTAAAATTATTTTGACGAGTTTGGTTTTTTGAGCATCGAAATATAGGAATAATAGCTATCTGGAAAATATGGTTCGAATTGTTAAGTCTGGAGAGCGATCAACAGTTCGAACGCCTAAACTTTCGTTTAACTTTTCGTACATTTAGCAATATTTCTCAAACAATTTAAGGGTATAAAAAAAATTTGTAAACAATTGCAAAATCGTTTAATAAAAATAATTCCTTATAAAAAAGTTTTATTAATTATTTGAACGAAAAAAAGTTTTGAATTGTAAGGTAAACAAATTTTTACATTATTTTTAAACTATGAAGTTTTAAATGATGAAATTAAAACAAAATATATAGAATTGTCGTTAATAAATAAAAATGTAGACTTTTTTTAGATTTTATTACTCAGAAGTTACTAGACTGATTTTGCTAACATTTTAAAGTTGGCTTTTTAAAATCATATAAATTAAAATGAGGTAAAAAATTTTGCACTTTACATCGAACATTTTTTTTCGAAAATTATTATAAAAATTATTAACTTAATAAATGATTGTAAAAATTAATTTTTATGTAGTATTATCTTTTGATAAATAATTATATACTTATGAGCAAAGTTTTTTTATTTTAATTTTATTAAATATATTCAGAATTTCAGTGAAATAGACTATATTCTATCGGCAGCCAAAAGCGGCTTGTACTCATCTAACATTAGACACAAAATGTGAATTATTGTTAAAAACGTGCATTAAACTCTCAGTGAAACTCATTTTACAATAAGTTGAGCTGCGAAATATCAGAAATCTCTAGCATCTCTCTTTAAATTTTTAATAGAGCGAGAATATTCAGAAACCGCATTACAAAAAAAAAAAATGAACAGAAATAAGAGTTTGTAATGATTTACAACTGTTACTCATTAACGTTTCCCATCATCTTCTTTCTAATTCACCCATCTTGTTAAAAAGTTACGGGTTTTTATGTTGTAAAACCTAAGTTATAGTTTGAATAAATTTTACGTCAAGTTAAACAATATTTTCTTGATATGTTATTTTTACATCGACATACACCTTTCAGGATACTAAAGTTTAATTTTTCTATTGTGCATTGAAGTAGAGTTATTTCATTTGAAGGTTCACTGTTCAATTTTTAATCTAAAAAGGGGGCTGGTTGATACTTTATTTACGTAGCACTAGAGCTTCACAATGACTATTGGCGACGGTCTGGGAAACATCCCTGAGGATGATTCGAATACATACCATCGCAATTTTGATCCTCTGCAGAAGGGATGGCTCCCTTGTCTTTGTTGCCCAACGACCTGCGCGCGAAGTCGAACACTTTAAGGTAGAACAGTTTAACGAGGACTGATACCGCACACCCTCGGTTCCTATACGCAGGCTGATCAGAGATGTCACCCACCTGCTTACTGACCGCAGCCAGTGATGCCCGACCTTGGTGTTCAACTGGAAACCTTGTCTTTACGATCAGTCCTCTGCGGGACAAAGAAGGAAAAAAAAGGGGAGGGAGGCAATTCGAAGTAGTGACTTTTGNCAGGGGTCTGTTTAGAAGAAATTTGGGTCCGTTAACGGACCCTTCACAAAATATCTTTTCATGAAAACGGACCCTTCACAAAATATTTTAACTTAAAAACGACCCTTCGCAAAATAATTTATCTTTAAATCGGACCCTTCACAAATTTGTTTATCTTCATTATTGTTTTGTTAATCGAATAAACCCTTCCCAGGAAGGGGGGGGGGAGAAAGACAGACTTAAACGAACTAAATTTTGTCTTCCGCAGACGCTTCTTCCTTTATTCGTCCGAAGTTAATATTCTGCGTTCAGCAGTATAGGCTAAATACCAAATATTTGTATGTTGCATCGCTTATTTAGTAGCTGCATTTGCTGTTTAATTTTATTAATTATAATTTTACAGCATTGAGCATAATCTTGTATGTCTTTGCAATTTAGAATTTTTTTTTTTTGTAACGGACCCTATTTGCACAAATTCACAAAAGCGGACCCTGGTCGAAAGAATGTGACTTAACGTTTATTTTATATTCACAAATTACGAGTAATTTTTTCACAATTTTACAAAAAACGGACCTTTCACAAAATGTCTGGACAGACCCCTGGTAATGATTTACAACTGTTACTCATTAACATTTCCCATAATCTTCTTCTTATTCACCCATCTTATTAAAAAGTTACAGGTTTTTAATGTTTTAAAACATAAGTTATAGTTTGAATAAATACTACGTCAAGTTAAACAATATTTTCTTGATATGTTATTTTTACATCGACATACACCTTTCAGGATACTAAAGTTTAATTTTTCTATTGTGCATTGAAGTAGAGTTATTTCATTTGAAGGTTCACTGTTCAATTTTTAATCTAAAAAGGGGGCTGGTTGATACTTTATTTACGTAGCACTAGAGCTTCACAATGACTATTGGCGACGGTCTGGGAAACATCCCTGAGGATGATTCGAATACATACCATCGCAATTTTGATCCTCTGCAGAAGGGATGGCTCCCTTGTCTTTGTTGCCCAACGACCTGCGCGCGAAGTCGAACACTTTAAGGTAGAACAGTTTAACGAGGACTGATACCGCGCACCCTCGGTTCCTATACGCAGGCTGATCAGAGATGTCACCCACCTGCTTACTGACCGCAGCCAGTGATGCCCGACTTCGGTGTTCAACTGGAAACCGTGTCTTTACGATCAGTCCTCTGCGGGACAAAGAAGGAAAAAGAAGGGGAGGGAGGCAATTCGAAGTAGTGACTTTTGGTGACCTTCCTGGCATCTTTAAACTATCGATGCGTAGTATTTCATTCTGATAAGATGAATGTTAGGAATGAAGAGGTCACAAAAATAAGTAAATAAAAAAAATTATTCTACATAGAAAAGGTAGTCTAAAACAATCTTAAACGAGTATTTATAAATTCCGCTATAAAATAGAAATATCGTATAGTATTCTTTTCTTAAGAATTTTGATATATAGAACTAAAATACTACTTATTAGTTCGCAAGTAATCGTATAGTATTCTTTTCTTAAGAATTTTGATACATAGAACTAAAATACTACTTATTAGTCAGGGGTCTGTCCAGACATTTTGTGAAAGGTCCGTTTTTCGTGAAATTGTGAAAAAATTACTCACATTTTTTTTAACCAAGGTCCGCTTTTATGAATTTGTGCAAATAGGGTCCGTTATTGCAAAATTGTAATTGTAATTATTGCAAAATTACAATTATTTTAAATTGTAAAGATATACAAGATTATGCTCAACACTGTAAAATTATAATTAAAAAAATTAAATTTTAAAAAATAAACAACAATTGCTGCTTCTAAATTAGAGATGCAACATACAAATATTTGGTATTTAGCCTATACTGCTGAACGCAGAATATTAATTTCGGACGAATAATGGAAGAATCGTCTGCCGAAGACAAAACTTAATTCGTTTACATCCATCTTTCTTGTTTTCTGCCCTGGAAAGGGTTTATTCGATTAACAAAATAATAATGAAGATAAACAAATTTGTGAAGGGTCCGATTAAAAGAAAAATCATTTTGTGAAGGGTCCGTTTTTAAGTTAAAATATTTTGTGAAGGGTCCGTTTTTATGAAAAGATATTTTGTGAAGGGTCCGTTAACGTACCCAAATTTCTTCTAAACAGACCCCTGTTAGTTCACAAGTAATTTCATAAGAATGAATTACTTTCATGTAATTTAGAATCATGCATCGTTCTAGAAACAAGCTTCCGATTTACAAAGGTTATTTTCAATTAATTGGTGTTTTCTCTTCCATTCTTGCAAATTTATTGAGGAAGTCAAAATTGATGCTGTCCAGATGAATTAGCAATACATACTCGTAAATCATTTTTATTTTTACCTATTGCTTTTAAATTTTCCAATAACGAAAAGTAAACTATGGAATTATTAGCTTTTTATAAGCAAAAAATTAAAAAACAAATTGATATTTTCATGAAGGAAGTTTAACTATTTAAGAGTGAACACACCTTGGAATGTTTAAAAGAAATTTTATTTTCATTTTTATTTAATTCGATAGTTGTCTCATCAACGTATGTTTAAAAAAAAATGTTAATCTTTCGAACTGCCATCATATATGTAATATAATATTGTATTAAATTGTAAATAGCTGGAAAAAGTACTATCGCTTATGTGTTTTTTACAATTAAATTAGAATAATTGATAATTAAGTATATTAATATAATATGATTAAAAAGTTTGATAACTGAATCACTCTATTTTGAATGATTCTTATTTAGATTCTCAGAGGGTTGGACAATCCACATTTTCATCACAAATGCATGTCTGCTATCACGCCAAATAACAAAAATAAAAACAGGGATCATTACATTATCCCGCGTAAGTATATTGTATTTTTAAATTTGATATACTTTAGTGTGTCTAATTGAAATACTGTTGTAAATGATACTTGTAATTAAATTATTGCATAATTCTTATTTAGTGGGGATTGGAAAATCATAAATAAATGTTGCAGTTTCGTTGTTTTTGGTGTATTTAAAACTGTTGTCATGTTAAACTAGTTTTTATGAATTACATGCTTAATACACGTTAAGATGCTCTCAGAAACGCTAGTATTTTGTGTATTTATCATTTTTTCAAATATTTTGTTATTAAAATAAGACATTTCCGCGAGGCCCGCTGTTGACCCAGAGGTTTATGTTCCACAGCTTCGTGCCCAATGGTATGATGGAAGCAATTCCGTCATCATTGCGGGCCCTTAATTTTTACTTCGAAGACAGGCTGGTATTCATCGACCTGAAGTGGAGTTGTTAACAGCCACTCTGAGGATCGAACCCAGTTCTTCATAGTGATAGTTCAGTGCCTCAATCACTGAGAAATCACGACAAGTTAAATATCGAGGATGTAAACGCCTTTATCATCGAGCAACCAAAATAGAACACATTAAGTAAAAAATATATCATGCAAGAAACAGAAAATTAAATGTAGGGAAAAAACAGAACAAAACACAAAATGAAATCTGTAAAGCGAGTAGCGAATTCAAATAAACTTACATAATCTTAAAGAATGATTTAAATATTTTCGTAATAAGATTGTCAAATTACAAGCTATGAAAACAAAAGCGCAAATGGAGTTAAAAGCACAAATAGAGGGCTTTGTTTTATGGCGCGTTTTTGCTGCTGTACTGTAGCGTGTTTGATTTGTTAGTTACCAAGGATTGGCCCGAAAATGAATGTGTGCATGGTAATAATATTATATTGGATAATTTGAAGAAGTTGATAATAATTAAGTTAGTATTTAAATATACAATTTTAATGACTAGAAAATTGACGTTTATTAAAAAAGAGAGAGAAATATGATTCGCCCATTTTTCACAAATTTTTAGCCACGGTTACTTCCGAATTGAATTTGCACATGGTAAAATTAAAAATAAAAGAAGTTTTTTGTGAATTTACTAATATTAACAATAGAATTCCATGTAATTAGTTTATTTATATTATAATTAAGATCATTTCATTTATGTATAAATCAACAAAGCAGATATTTTTTTTAATTCCTTACTCTAAAAAATTTAGAATATCATGATTACGAAGCAAAGATTAATTCCTTAAGAGAGTAAATATTGTATAATAAAATTGTATAATCTTGAAAATTAAAAAAAATTAAATCATTAATAAATCTGAAAACATATTTAATTTTTAGTGTATAATTTTTTTCATAATAGTGTAAAAATAAGTTAGCTAAGAAAGATAAAAAAATTAGATCATTTGGGTATTAAAAAAGAAATGATTTTAATTTTTAATATAAATTAAATAATTACTTGGAATTCTAATGTTTCTAAAAACATCTATTTAAATACCATTTTTAATCAAATGAATAGAATTAAAAGAATATGTAGTAATGTTTATTTATCCAAAAAACAATTACACTATTTCAAAACTTGATAAAGAAAACAATGGATACCTAAGTAATTAAATTCCATATAAAATCATGAAATTAATTGTATGTTGTTATTATTAATAAATTTACTAAAAAACTTCTTTCTTAATTTATATTTTTACCATGTGCAAATCCAATTCGGGCCAATCTGTGGCTAAAAATCTGTGTAAAACGGGCAAATCTTGTTACTCTCTCTTTTTTCTTAATAAATATTAATTTTTTAAAATCATTAAAATTGTATAATTGAGTATACTATAGCCTACGTCACAGATCGTGTTATTCCTACTAAATTTAACTAGTAAACAGCATTTTCTGCGAACCTGATTTCTAGCAACAAGTAAAATCATCAAACGAAGTGTCTTGTTATAAGTCGCTACTCGCCAGGTTGGAATTGTATTAGTCTAGTTCCTTTGGAAATAATTTATATTGTTGTTTTACCGAAGTTTATGAATTTAGTAAGCATATTTAAAACTCAGTTTATTAATTAAACTAAAAGGTAAATGTTATTCCTAGTAAGTGGAAGTAGTTGTGCTTTTTTAATATTATTCCCAATTAAATATCAACCTTATTCATTATAAATTTCTTCAAATTGTTACGAAGCACACATTCATTTTGGGGACTAATCCTTGGTAACTAAGAAATCAAACGCACTAAAAACAAAAACACTCTATTTACTCTTTAAACTACATTTGTGCTTCTGTTTTCATATTTTGTAATTTGGCAATCTTATTGCGAAAATATTTTAAATTCTTAAGATTCCAGTCCATGTAAGTTCATTTGAATTCGCCTCTCTCTTTATAGATTTCGTTTCATGTTTTGTTCTGTTTTTTCTTTACTTTTTATCTTCTGTTTTTGGCGTGATATATTTTTTACTTAATGTGTTCCATATTGTTTCAATTTTTTTCAGTGCTCCTCAATCACTATTGTATTGATGTATTTTGCTTTGGTTACATTGATACAATATTAGAAAGCACTCCTTTTTGCGGATATAATCGTGCGAGCTGATGAAGAGATTATATCTTTTTAATTTATACACTCATGGACAAAAATATTAGCGCACCAAAAAGGAGTCGCCAAAATGAAACGAAATTTTACATACGTAATGACTACTTTGATGTAAGTAAATGATTAGAAAATCAAAGAAAAACGATAAACTTTGATTTTCTAATCATTTACTTATATCAAAGTAGTCATTACGTATGTAAAATTTCGTTTCATTTTGACGACTCCTTCTTGGTGCGCTAATATTTTTGTCCATGAGTGTTCATTTTTTTGAAAAATTTAAATTTTTCTTCTTCTCTTTTCATTAATCTTTATTATTTACCATACTTTCTCTTTATTTTGAACTATTTTTATGAGTTCTATATACCTGCAGCTTAAGCGCAGTAAATAAAACTTATTAATTTTCGCACATACAAGATTTCAGAGCATTAATTTGGCAAGTCTAGAGAATGGGTTCCTATTTTTAAACTATCAAACTTTGTCGAATTTTTCATAAATTTTTAAGCAAAAGAAGTTACATTATCCTCTTTAGTTTCTTCGGAACTATTCGTTAAACATATGGAATAAATATAATTAAATTGAGTTTACTTAGACGCTTCTGTAGCATAGTGTGATCGAATTGGAATTAATTTTGGTCTAAGGGCGATATGAGGGCGAGAATCATTTGTTTTGTCTATTTTAATGAGACTTTATTTTATTTTAGCGGATGATGGCCGACCACTTTTAAAAACTAGTCCTCCATCAAATTACATTAATGCCGTGTACGTTTATGTAAGTATCTTCCTCTGAGCATTTTCAAATTACTTTTTTAAAAATATAACTTTTAACTAAAAATTTAACTTTAAATGTTTTTGTTAAGAGTCTTAAGTGTTTAAATATTAACGTTTGTGTTCAGATAAAATGTAATGCTAATTTATTTGATGTGAATTATTTGATACTTGATTTTGCCTATTAAGTGTGAGAATTTCAAATCTAGAATTAGTTTTGTTCCTAAAACTTCAGATTATTTTTAAAACGACAGTTTTAGTATATATTTTGCCAAAATGTACAAGTTTAAAAAAGTTATTTATAACAAAGGGTTGTCTAAATGTTGTGACAAACCTTTAGGGTAATTGGGACATACATCAAGATTAAAATTACATAGGAACCCATGCCTGGAAATATCGTCGTACGCCATTAGGGGGGCTTCCGTATTATGACCTGCTCAAAAGGACACGGTGAAGCAGTTCATTGTAGGAAAACGCCCCTAATGGCGTATGACGACATTTCCGGACATGGGTTATGCAATTTTTATCCTGGTGAAGTGCCCAAATTTCTCTAGAAGTTTGTCTCAACACTTAGACGACTCTGATATCCTGGCTATCCTCATATTCTGTAATTCAAAAATTTAAATCTGTCGAAGTATATATTTTTTTGTTTCAATTAAGGTTAGTCCCTAGAACCATTAAGATTGCATCAGATTTCGTGATAATCCGATCATTAGATCAAAAGTAATTGAATTATTTATTTCACGCACCGTTCATAAGAAGTATTTTTATTCTTTTCAAATATAACATCTACTTTCTCATTGACTTACATTGGGTTAAGCAGAATTTTGTAGCAGGAAAAGCAACTCGTCTTGCACTCTGAAAACTGAAGAAAAAAAAAATTGCTTCGTTTTTGTTATAATCTATGAAAAAATTATGGAAATCGCCTTTTTTTCAACTGAAATATTCTTATTCATTGCAAAAAAAGAAAATATATATGTATATGAAACGTTGTCTCATGACTCTGTATTGAAAAATCGGTATCATGTCAAAATTTGAAGTGAGAATTAATTTTTTGCACAGTTGTGTTAGTTTATTGGTAAAAAATACATATTTGATCACCGAAGAGAAAACATTTTTACAGACAGGGGTCTGTCCAGACATTTTGTAAAAGGTCCGTTTTCGTAAAATTGTGAAAAAGTTACTCGTAATTTGTGAATATAAAATAAACGTTATGTCACATTCTTTCAACCAGGGTCCGTTTTGTGAATTTGTATAATAGGGTCCGTTATTGCAAAAAAAAAAAACTTTTTCAAGTTTTAAAATTGTAAAGACATTCAAGATTATGCTCAACACTGCAAAATTATACTCAAAAAAATTAAATTTTAAAAAATTAACAGCAATTGCAACTACTAAATTCGAGATGCAACATACAAATATTTGGTATTTAGCGTATACTGCCGAACGCAGAATGTTTATTTCGTCGAATAAAGGAAGAAGCGTCTGCCGAAGACAAAACTTAGTTCGTTTACATGTGTCTTTCTCCTCTCTCCCCTTCCTGAGAAAGGTTTATTCGATTAACTAAACAATAATGAAGATAAACAAATTTGTGAAGGGTCCGATTAAAAGATAAATTATTTTGCGAAGGGTCCGTTTTTATGAAAAGATATTTTGTGAAGGTTCCGTTAACGGACCCAAATTTCTTCTAAACAGACCCCTGTATAAGTATTACTTTAAAATTATTAAGAATTGCATATTTTGTGTGGATCGCTACTGTTACAATAAGTTAGTAACTTTCTGACTAATCCTTGTCTGTTGTAATAGCAGCTGTATGTATTTATTTTTTTCAACTAATTATTTTTCAGCATTACGGAATACAAAACCATTTCATAACCACTCAATATCCTCTTCCAAATACGCTGGCTGATTTTTGGCAACTCGTATGGGATTCAGGCTCTTCATCTGTAGTTGTATTAAATGAGTTCAACAACAAGGATGAGGTTAGAATTTTTTATTTTAATATTATAAGTTTTTCACTTCCTTTTTTTTTTTTATCTGTTTAGTGATGAAAGTTTTATGGAATAGAGAAAATGCGTTATTAAAGTAAAACTTGAATCGGAGCATGTTATTGAAAAGCAGAACTGTAACGATCTGCAAAAAAATGGCTGGAATTGATCAAAATAACTTAAATTTAAAAGTATTATTTCAGATAATGGAGAAAATGTCAAACTAAAAATCTCTTTTAATTTTTAAAAAAAAATTACTTAAAGATATTTTTTAAGTAATCAGTTTGTCAGATAAAATCTTTAAATACAAAAAGTTTTGAAATTTCAGGTATGTAATTTTATTGAATTCAAAATTTTATTAATCATTAAAGATAATTTTGCCTATTATTAATCCATGTTTTTTTATAATGTATGTTAATTTTCCTAAGTTTTTTAAGATTTCAATCAAATTAATACACTACCTTCTTTGCAAATTTATATGAATTATTACTTAATTACTTAGTGTTATCTCCAGAAGTGTCAGGAATTTCAGTAAGGAGAATTCTACATGCACTGTTATTTTCGATGCCCTTTTTATTATTTTGTATATTTTTAATTTTTCTGCAATATTTCTGATTAAACTCTTTACTTCTCTATTTGATATAACATTGCTCTTATGGATATTGTATTTACCCATCGTACTGATTACTTACGATTGACACAATAATATATTTTTAATGGTGAGTTCAATCTCTTCATGGACCCTGGGAAGATCACTTCCCACTTATATCATCTTAAAAAATACGATTGTGGGAAGGAAGTGCAAAACCCATTATATTGGCCTTGCTATTATAACAACGGGAACACTGATTCCCGCTTCTGTATCGTGCAGCTATCTATGATGTGCGCTCGCTGAACCCGTGTGGAAAAATCGCAGGTATCCAACTTTTGACGATGTAGGAAATGTAGTACAAAGAGGCAAGAAAAGAGTACTTTTTTTTTAGTACTCGATACATGTATGCAGAATGTGATGTGCACTTATGTATTGTAACATGCTTCTCATCTTTTCATGGCAAGTGATCAGCTTTAAGTTTCATTTTCTTTACTCCCGTAAATGATTCCTTTTGGAAGTATACTTACCACCTTTGAAATTTAAATGTGAACGTAAAATGCTTCCAAATAAAATATATTTCTTTTAAATACTATTGTTTGTTAATCAAACATAAACAAAACTGTGATAAATTCACTAGAAAAATAAATGGCCCACAAAGGAGGTAAGTAATATAAATAAATTAACTCTGCTTTATTGTTATTTCTTTACTGTTGTAATTGTTTTCCAATTTTTTTCCTTCCTACTTTCAAATAAAATTCAGCTATAAATAATGGAAGTTGTTTAAAGTATTCCATGGGATCCCTAGCTTTTACCAAAGATATTTCTACATTGACACTCAAAAAATTCGATACAACGTCGAACAAACTTGAATCCTATAGCCACATGGCCAACCATGTGACTAGCTTGAACCATATGGCTATCTTGAACCATAATAAAGGGAAAATTTACAGCAACCTCAATAAGGTGTTAAATTTAATCGTATTCTTTCAAGTTGGATCCATATATCCTATTATAAAGTATGAGAAATACGACTGGTTGAGTTGGACTCAAAAAATTTACGCTATAGGCACTACTGTGGTTCAAATAAAGTATTAAAAAAATGCCAACTGTTTTTTACTTTATTTTTAAACTTCAACGAATAGTTTGACTTGAAAGTTCTGAACTAAAACTACATCGTTTACTTTTCTTTTTAAAAATAAAAGTGTTGTTCAGATTTCGAGTACTGTTAGTCACGCAAATAAACAATAAATAGGTTAAAAATGATATGTGCCTGCAGGTTTTTGATTTGCCTTTCTACGTGAATTTTTTTTTTAATGATTTAAAACAATGATGTGCTTATTGCGTGATGTACTTTTTTTTAAATGTTGCTACCGTTTAGAAATTTTTCTACAGAAATAGCAATAAGTAGCTTTTAGTAATATTAAATTGAAATATTCGCGTTTTGTTTTACTTTTTATATTGGTTCATTGTGTCTATTCAGAATATTTAATCAAATATCGTGTTTTCTTTCAATGTTGAGCATTTGGTGAAATCGTGTGTTTTAAACTTACTCTATAATTACGTTTTAAAAAGAAAATAAAGTTCAAATTAAATGTTAAACGATGGTATGTAACTTACGGCAATATACACAATATCTTATACACAATTGCTTTCCTATGACTCGGAAATAATCAAACTTTAGAGTTAGTTACATAATAGCATAGTTATGGTTATTGCAAATTTATGCACATAAAATGTAACTTAAAATAAATTGATGATGTCAGTGAGATCAGCTGTCGGTAAAGAGATTGTCGGCAATATGAGTAATCTGCTCGCTCGCTTTTTATTTTTTTATTTATTTATTTTTTACTGGCCAATGTTTCTTAAAATACCGTTTGATTTGTTACCTTAGGTATGCAATGTCTTTTAACTAGGTGCAGTATACCCAATTACCGCTTCTGTAGATTCAAAATCTACCGAATCAGAAGTTTCGTTCCGTTAATGTTAATTTTACTTTTTGCTTAATTCGCCATGTCCCGAGACCTTTTTGGAAAGAATCGAAATTTATTTGCAGACAATTATAAAATTGAAATTTTAAATATAAGACTTTTTTTAAATTCTAAAAATCGTAAGCTATTCGATTCGATGCATCTATCGTAACGTGATTGTAGTGGGCATCCTGTCGCATCTTTGTGAAGTCCTTCTCTACCTTGGTTTTTTCTTCTTCGACTTGACAAGGGCTTAAAACCAAACTTTGCGAGGAGCTCACAACAGAAGCCTACACAGGGATATGTAACTGTAAATGAATACTCGTAAATAAATAGATGCATCCAAGTCGCGTTGGAATTTGAACCCGCCACCTCCACGCTTCCAATTTAGAACGTTGGAACAGCCTGATGCGTAACATTTGACTTTCTGATTTAGTTCAGCCTTGTAAGGACATTTTTATATTTACAAATCTGTATTTTTTATTGTTGTGAAATTTAGTAGATGTTAGCTTGAAGCGACGTGATAACAAGTGCGTATTCTGCGTTTTTAAATTATTTCATTATTACTTATGAACTCTAAGTTTGTATTTACTTCAAATTTCATTCTTACATTTAAAATTGCACTTCTTTTTGTTCTTTGTATTTTTTTTGTACTATCGCATCGTGAATATTTGATTACAAATGTAACTATGTATAAATTGCACGTATAAATGCATTATGTATAAATTGTAAATAAATGTAAGTAGAATTTATTGAGCGTGTTTATTCATCAAACTATTCATTAAAAAGACGCACTTTTCTAAATTGATGACCAAACCAGCTTTTTGAAATCGATGGAACACTTGTCTTAGATGTGAAATATGTTCGTCTTCGGTTCTAGAAGCCACAAGTACATCATCAAGGTAGGCAAAGCAGAAATCTAATCGGCGAAGTACGGTATGGATAAATCTCTGAAAGTTTGTGCGGCATTACGTAACCCGAAACTCATTCTTATGAATTCAAAGGAACCAAATGGGGTACAGATTGCTGTTTTCTCAATGTCAATAGGTTCGACTGGTATCTGGTGATAAGCTCTGACTAAGTCCACTGTCGAAATTATTTTAGAACCATGTAATTGGTTGTTGAAGTCTTGAATATGTGGCAATGTATATCGATCAGGTATAGTGACAGCATTTAAATTTCGGTAATCACCGCATGGTCTGTAGCTTCCATTTTTCTTTAGTACCATGTGTAAAGGACTGGCCCAAGCGCTCTTTGATGACCGACAGATTCCTTGCTCAATCATGTACTCAAATTCTTTTCGTGCAATTTTTAATCTATCGGGTGACAAACGTCTAGGTTTTGAAAAAACTGGTGGACAAGTTGTTATAATATGATGGGTGACGTCATGTTTGATCTCTTTGACTGTCGAATGTTCTACAGTTATATCTTTGAATTCATTCAACTGTTGGTAAATTCTAGGATCAGTAGTTTTAGATGACACAGTTGTCAAATTAGTTGACGGAACATGGACAAATCGACCAAAGGATTTTAAAGATGTAGAAGGATCTATTAACATTCTTTTTTTTAATATCAACTAAAAGCCCGTATTCTTTAAGAAAATCAGCACCTTTCAGCAAGATTTCGAAACATCGGCAACAATAAAGGTCAAACAAAATTTTCTTCGTAAGCCCAGATCAAGGAAAACTCGCTGTGTCCCAAATGTGTGCACTTGGAAGCGTTGCAAGCATACAAGCAAAATTTTGGACCAGGAATTTTTTTCTGTTTTGAAGAAACGGGTAAAACAGATACATCAGCTCCAGTATCGATAAGAAAATTTCGTTAACTAGAGTGATCATATATAAAAAGGCGACTTGTATTCTGGCTACCATCGTCTTGCGCTGCCAACGATGGCCTAATTAGTTTTCCGATTTTTCGAAAGCAACAACAAATGAACAGGGTTTAGTGCATCTGGTTGACTTTTTACCAAAACGACGATAGTACCAACATATACTTTCTTTTGAATTTGATCTGTTCATATAATTGGACCTTTGGCGATTAAAATTATTCCAATTTCTAGAGGTGCTGCGTGATCTTCGCAACTCACTAACTTCTTTAGAACGTACATTAATTTTGTCTAATATTGTTGATAAATTCAGACTTTCTGATGTAGTCGCTTCTGGATTTCTATTGGTAGAAAATTCGCCAACGCACTGGTACCTACCGCAAGTTTCTAAAATTTTATCGCCCATTTCAGCTAGTTTATCGAGAGCTTCAGTGCTGACAGCTAAAATGGTTGAACTTGCTGTAGCAATTGTTGTAACCAAAGTGGTTTTTAGACATTGTCATTTATTTTACTCATCGCCAAATTCCGCATTTCGCGTAGCAATTGACTAGGGCGCTTATCACCAAGATCTAGTTTGGAGAAGAGTTTTTTAGTTGAACACTTTCGGAAT